AAAAAAAAAAAAAAAAAAGTATATTTATTCAGAGAAAGTAAGTTTATGTGTCTAATTTCGTAAATTTAAAATATCGTTAGCATTCATTAATTGGCATATTTGAGATCACCCCCTCGAACCATTTAGATTGAGTCCTAGAATATGAAAATCCGATCAAAAAGTAAGACTAGGAGGTCCCCCTTTTTTTGCGCTCTGTACATATGAAATTTCCTTTGAATTTAAAGAAAACTTTTTGACCTATTGAAGGTTGTTTTTAAAACAAAAAGCCATTCTCCTTTTTCCAAAAGAAAGGGAAAAAAAACTCGTAAAGGAAGTAAATCTAATATAAATTCACTCAATTTTGTATGCGATAAGAAGTGAGCTTTAAACTTCGAACGTAGAACAAAGCACGAGTCGGACTTTTTTATCTTTATTCCATTTGCATAAATCGTTGCTTATTTTAGTGGTGAAATAATTTGACCTTTGCAGAGAATTTTTTTTTAGCCCTTGATAAGACGACACTTCAGAAAAATTATCGAAAGAAATTCTATTTTTTTTTATTATTATTTATTTATATTTTTTTTAGGAAGCGAAGAAATAATCGTAAAAAAGTGGCAAACATTTGGTAAACATCCTTATAACTATACAAATACTTAAGCTTGGCGAAAAAGTTTGTCTACAAATCATTATTTTATAGTATCTGTAAGAAAACCTTGACAAGGTCAATGCAATTTTAAGTCGAAATATAATTTTTTTTTACTGAACTTAAGAGTGAATTAAGTAATAATAAGGTTAATTATGACACTATTTAAACCATAGAAAGGATAATTAATACATCCATTAAATTATAGTATTACTATTTATCATTCGAATAAAATTATAGTATGGTTAAGAATTAAATCGTAGTACGGTTAATTATCACACTAATTAATTCTTAATTCAGTTTATTATTTCACGAATTAAATCTAAGTACAGTTTATTATCACACGAATTAAATTATAGATTAAATAGATTTTTTTAGCACTTGATAGGACCTAACTTGAAAGAAATTTTTGAGGAAAATTCAGCGGTGCTTTTTTTTAATATATTTTTATAAAAAAGAAGAAGAAAAAGGAATCATAAAAAACGAATCAAACGTAATGTAAACAGCTTTAGTAACAATTAAACTATTTTTGGTTCTGGAAGGTTAGGTTTATGTTTTTAGTGAGTCATTTTTAGAACGTTAGTAATTTTTTGCATATGTGGTTAGTGGGAGTCTTAAATTTTCTTCTTTTATTCAACCATCAGGTTAGATAAGAGTTTTGAAAACCGTACAGACATTAATTAAAACTAACAAAAGGCCCACTACTTCGGCCAATAATAATAATAAATAATTTTAAAAAATCTTGTGTCTAAAATTTATGATCCGATTTTATTTTTAATTTATATTTTGTTTAAAATACCCCACAAATTGAGTTTTCCAAAAAAATGCTATTGAACCACTATTCTGACTCTGCAGTTTATTTTTCCGAAAGAAATACGAACAAGAAAATTTCCTGATGTGTGGCCCTCTACACAATGAAATTATCATCCAATGAAACTAAATACTTTTTCTGAAAGAGAGGCTGCTTTTCATATTTTAAGTATTGTTATGGTATATATATTAAGTATTGTTAAGTGTTCATATTTTAAGTATCGTAACTATGTTAATACTACTTAACTTACACATTCTCATGCATTTCTTTTTGTATTCTTTCGATACAGAATTTATTTTTCATTATATTATAAATAATTACACTTAAATGACCCGATATATGTATTATAACTAATTATACTTAACTTTCATTTTCTTATGCACACTTACAATACAGAACATATTTATAACGTATTATATTATAATTAATTTTACTTAGCTTGCATGTCATCTGCCTTGAAAGTATATAAAAACATACTTTCAAGGCAGAATTTATTCATAATGTAACGAATTGTAATTAATTAAACTTAACTTATTCGTTTGCATACTTTCAATGCACAATATTATCATCACATCACAGTTTCGTACGTAACATATTATCATCACATCACATGATAATCACATTTTTTTAACTTACATGTTCTGTTGCATTTTTTTTTTGTTGTATTCTTTCACTGCTGAAGTTATATGGAGTTTTATAGTTGTGACATAAAAACTACATTTTCTTTGTAGTTAACTACAACTACTTTTCTTTAATGTAGCGACTGAAAACTACTTTCACTACTTTTAAAAGAGAAACTTTTAACTGGAGAACTTTATTTTCACCAATATTCAAAATGATTTTGAATAAAAACAAATTGGCATGGTTTAATGTGAGGGGTTATTACGAAGTTTTAACTTATGTTTACATGAAATAGTTTTTTATTCTATAAAGCACTTCTTACGAATTTGTTCTTTTAACTTTCAAAGTTCAGACAGTGAATATTTAATTTTAGAAATGCTAAGAAGTTATCAAAGATTTGTGATTTAAGTGATCAATGCTTTTTTATATCCTCCAAGCAATGAGCGACTGACCAAAAACGGACCAACCTGAATAACTTTTGTTCTAATGATAAGATTTTCATGTTCCAGGACTCATTCTTAATGGTTTGAGGGGGGGGTGACGGCAAATAAGCTAATTAATTAATGCAAACGATAATTTAAGTTGCGAAATCAGACACAAAAACGCACTTTATAGTTCCTGTGAAATCGAATTTTATAAAAGTCAGATACATAAAATTCAATTTCTCTTGAACAATTCGACCGATTACCCACCGATTTTTTCAAGCGTCAGACTTAGATCTTATTAACGCTTGGCCATAGAGGCATTCTCATTGTGTGCTTTGACGCACCCACAGCATCTATCAGATTTGAAAAATGTTTTACGTTTGAACTTTGTTTCTTCACATAAACTATCGTCAAAAGTAGTTGGCAGGAAACGCTACAAACTACTGTTTTTTGTATCGCACTACTCACTATACACTACTTCTTTTATAAAGAAGCGCACTACACTACAAACTACGGAAAAAAATACCGCTTACAGTAGTATCGTTACTTGTCACGGGCTACTTCTGACCACCGCTTTTGACCTAATATTTTCAATTTTCAACACTTAACTTTCAAGATTGAAATGGTGTTACACAAACCACTTGAGAAAAAACAGCGTTAGCGAATTGAAATACAGATGCTCAAAAAGAACCTTCCCGAAAATAGCAAATTCGAACCGCTTTTTCCTAAGAAATTTAGTTTGTAACCTTGTTCAAGGTATTATATGTCCTGTTTGAGATAAAATATCACCATCTCAGCCTATTAATAATTCAGATAAGTATAAAAATCTGAATATTTAGCAGCCACGTAATCGTTCTTTTATTTTTAATAAAACGTTCTTCTATCTGAACTGTCATCAAATTTGAATCACCCAATTCTCGAAAGAGCCTCTCTTTTTAAATGAGAGCTATTTACAGCATTTTCATTCAATCGCTTTCGTGTCTGTAAAAGTGAAATTTCGAAAATGAAATTTCGATCTTCTTTTTTTTTGTTGATAAACTAGAGAGCTGAAATCTCATATAAAACTCCATTCCTGATAACAATGCAAAATTCAATCGTTTCCAGATCACTACAAGTGGAAATTGCAGCCACATTATTGCCGCAGAGTATTTTTTTTTTCTTTTTAGTAACTTTCGTTGAACAGGCTATCGTTGTTCCGTAGCCTTGTAATTTCGAACCCAATCCAGAAGACAAGGGAATTCCAGGATCAAGTATTGGAAGAAATTTGCCTTCCTGAAGGACTTTTTTATGGTACCAGCCGGCATTCGCGTTACAGGGAGAGGAAAACCGCGAAAACCTCCAACGGTTCGCCTGGTGGCAAGGGGACTCTAACCCATGATCCGTCTATCTCTGAGGATATTTTACGTTAGCACTGTGGTCGGTGTGGGCTGGATGTGGAATTCGTATTGACTAGCCACCGATGGGATTCGAACCTGGTGTACTTCATTGGGAGACGAGCTCTCTATCCCTTGAGACACCACGGCTTGGAAGCTACCTGATATAAATATAATTTACAACCCTTTTTTAAATGTATGGCTATTTTATCGCCAATCGAAATTTTGACTAATTTCTGACAAACTAACCTTGGATAGAAAAAAAATCCAACGTAAATAATTGTAATCCGATGTAAAATTATTTTGCTGTCTTAACATCACCAACAGGTGTTTTATAGTTTTTGTACTAATATTTAATAAAATAATTTTTTTCGGGTATTGTCCATAACATCAAAATTTTACGTTAAAAACTTGTATAATTTATTTCGATACTTATATTGATCAATTATTTCAAATAAATAAGTTCATACATATGATATAGGAAGAAAACATTCTTGTAAATTGGGAAAATTACCTCCTGTGCAGGTTTTTTAATCAATGGTACTCTTTCTTCTAGAGTGCCTAGGCCAAGGCAAGCTAGACTGTCAACAGCCTGAACTGTGTAAAAAAGTAAAATAAAATAAATTAATAAAGTATTTTAGCATATAACCGATAAGAAAGCTTTTTAGGGCATGATAATTAAGATGTTAAGACGATTTCAATGTTATTTACTGGAAACAGAAATGTCTTAAAAAAAAAGAGTTTGGAAATGAATGTTACATAGAAGGTTAAAAATGAAGGTTACATAGCATGCAAATAATAGCTCTCTAAAGAGGAAGGAAATACTCAATATTACTATTAAAGTAAAATCTAACAGAAAATAGAATATATCTTCGAATATAAACACAATACACTGTAGGAAAAACGCAGATTAATTATTAAATAACATTCATTTTTGAGATACTTATTTGTTTTGAGAAAAGAAATGCTGAAAACAGTTTAAAAGTTGGACATTTTTACTGGAAATAAATTAAATGTGTTGATTAGCATTTTCATTCGCATGAAAAAGAGGCAATATCATTTTATTTTTTAATTTAAACTTTCAAATTTTCTGAAAATATTTCAACGAAGATATGTGACCCCTTTTTATTCAAATATTTAATAAATAACACAGCATCACAAAAAAAACTCAAAATAAAACACGTATTTTGGAAAATGCTTCAAATTATGTTCAACACATTTAAATGCAGCCTCGTTTGCTTTTAACGTATCATTAACATCTAAGCTAGCAATTTTTTTAATGTAAAATAAATATGATTTTATTTTGTTTTTTAATTCGCAACAATAAAATACCCGATTTGATTAAAATTTAAACTGCTACAGCTTTTAATGAAGTTGCATATAAGGCTTACTTTGTTTTTCGAACTTGAGAACAACAGGCTTGGCTTGTCCAACCATGTATATAGCCGACTTCTCGGCACTACTGAGAGTGAAATGAACGAGTTTATTCGATTCCTTTATATGTGAGTATGTGTTGGAGGCAAAGTCCCATGCCACATGGACCATGGGCAGTTTCACCACTCGTTCCACGAAGTGACTCCTTAGAACACCCGTATCGCCTTCTCCTCTTGCCATTATCGGATCAGTCCTGTACATAAACCTTCAAAAGACAAAAGAATGTCATTGGTCAGTAAACTACCAATACAGCATTTAAACATATAGTTTGTCTATGTAAAGAACTCCTCTAGCCATTCGTCTGGAGTGGTAGTGTTACTATGGTTGCGATGTTTAACTATTTGAAGTTGGGCCATTATTTAAGACAGGTTTTGATTCGGGTAGGCGAGAGGAAGAGAATCAGCAGAGAAAGAAGCTCCCCTCTTGGAAATGCGATACATTTTGTTTCCATACCAGCAGATGACCTTTAGACTACGTGGCATGGGGAGTTTTTTCTATAGACAAATTAACTAATATGATCACGTAACAATGAACGAGTAGAGCAAAACAACGTAAATGAAGCAGCAAAGGTACAGAAATGAACAAGCTTTAGTTGGTTCTAAAAACAAGAACCATGCTCTGTCTTAAAACAAACACTATTTCTCGAGTTGGGAGATCACTGAAAAATATTTTAATATCCAGAACTGAAACTATAGTATATCCATCCCATTGTTTATCCCCTATTCATGCGTTTTTGCTTTATTTATGCTTACCATAAATAATTCTCTATCCTCATTTGGATAAAAACGTCAGTCTGTTTATTCCCGGTATGTTTCCATCCCGTACGTCTGATTTTGACGATGAAGTTTTATCACACTGGTAGTATGAAGTATGAAAAAGGTCACTGTTTACATTAGAACATTCTACTCCATACCGATCGAACGAGGTGTGTAAAACACGGATTTTCATATAGGACTAACTTTAGACATTATTGAGTGCAAATTATTATACAAGTGAGTCTAGCTTATAGCTCACATAGGTGCTTATAGTTTTTAGATTTGATTACAATTATAAGTATGACAAATCTTAACAGTTACGAATTCATTTTGCTAGAATTGCTTTTCTAAAACGTGTTTTGTAAAACTTAGTTACGCAAAGACATCGGGATAAGCGATAAATAATAAGTAATTAAATATTAAGTGCCAATTGACGTTGTGTGAGTATCTCGATCCGGATGGGTAGTGGAAACGTGGCATTTACTTACGATAGCAACTGTTCTTTCCATTTTATTTCGAGTAAGTCAAACCCGCCAAGTATCAATTCTCTTAAGTGACATTCTTTCGCAATGTTTTTTTTCTTCAAAAATTTCAAAATATTTCACCATATATTTCTTAATGTAAAGACAGGCACAAAGCCATGTAGAACTTAAACACACTAATTATTAATCGAAGTTGCCGTGTACACGAAACAAAAATGTATCATGGTCACAATAAAATACATAAACAAATAATAAATCTAAGTTAAGAAAAAATATAGATAAGAAAGAATTATATTTCAGAGAATTCGATTTCTGATACGGCGCTGTATTTCATTAGCTTCACGTTAATTAGCATTCCAATTTAAATGGAAAAACGTAGCTCAACTTTAACACGCCATTTGAACAATTAGCTGACGTCATAGTTCACATGTGTGGGTATCCGTAATCTTCTTCTTCTTTAAATGCAAGTACACGATTGCCTTCCTAAACCGTGTTTTTATGAACTTACAGAAAAACACAGTTTAGAAATTTGTAAAAAGAAAAAAAAAGGTTTAAAGAGGCATCTGTAGTACAGTATCGCGAAAGAAAATATATGTTCACCAAAATGATTATGAAATAATTATATCCCAAATACTTAGCCTCGAGTGTTGCATAATGTTTATACGGATTCCTCAGACAATAATGTACCTTAATTTTAACCCTGGCAAAGCTAAGTTGGACAGTTGGTTTATCTTTTAACATTGATTTGCTGTTAAAGCTGTAAGCGATTTAATTTATTGTCTTAACTTTAAGAGTGAGATATATACATTGGGTTTGGTAAAATAGTATTTATCTTTTATTTTTCCTTAGAAACTGAATTTGAAATAGTTAATTTTGATAGTTAATTAGAAACTAATTCTGATGAATTGAATTTAAATGATTAAAAAAAGATCAACACGCAGTTAAAAATACGTATACATTGGGTTTGGTTAAATAGTAATTATTTTTTGTATTTCCTTAAGAACTGAATTTTAAAAAAGAAATTAATCTACCGATCCATCAAAGTATTGTGTTATGGTAATTCTTAATTGTAAATCGAGGGATATTAAAGTGGCTAATAGGTTTAGTTTAATTAAATATGTTATTTATGGCCATGTATCGGATATTCCTTTTCAAAATTATTAGCATTAATTTTTTTAAATTTGAAACTTATAACTTTGGCCACATATATTTCAAATATATGTGCTAAAATCTTATGGTATAACTATTGACAAAATATTAGAAAAATAATTGGCTATTTTTTCATTAGAGTTTCAAACTGTAATTCATTGTTATTTTCATACATTACAAAATGTCCCATGGAATTTTTAAAGATATGATTTTAAGAGACACAAATAAATATTACTTATCGCGAGAGTTTGATTACGTAATTTATCCTCAAAATTCAATACAGAAAGTTATCTGTTTTTAAAAAATTACAAATACCCTGTGTAAATATTAAGAGTGTAAGTATTTTAGGAGAAACAATTCTAAAAGATTAAATTTTTTCCCGCAATCGTCGAATGTCGTACTAGCTGTTATCTACTGAATGAAATAATGAATTGAAAGAGGTTTTTCTTAAAGTTCTTAAAGCGTAATTTTTAAACTTTAAGTGTGAAAAAAAATTCTGCTTTTATTCACCTTATCTAGAAAAAAAATATATGAAATTTTCAAAGAGAAATTTGAAGAAATTAAGTCAATATACAGTTATTATATTATATTATTTTTCACGTTAAACAGTTTGAGAGCAGTCATTAGTTTATCCTGCGTTTTTGTTTAAAAAAATTGCTAGATAATGAGTTAAGTTAAAGTGGTTATTAATATGATACTTAAATGGAAAAATCGAAGACAGTTTTAGAATTAGATATTTAGCATATTATAAATAAAATCTTAACTTGAAATAAGATTTTTACTAGCTAAAAATTCTGATTATCCTATTCAAAATGCAAACAAAGAACAATAAATAACAACTTTAAAAGAATATTCAAAAAATGATGCTGTTCATTTTAAGTTATTCTATATAATTGTCAATAGCTCATAAGTTCATTATGCTGTCCAAATCTATTCAGAATCAATCTTTCAGTGACACTAAAAACCAATAAGAGTGAAGCTCTCAACTTTTATCATAATTTTTTGCTGTTTGATAAAAAAATTGCAACGACTTAAAGGCCAAACTTTTACGCAATTAAAATTATTCTTCAAAGCTCTTTCAACCACAGCAACAACAACAAAAAACCCTGCTAAAATTTGAAGTTTTTAAACTCGTAAATAAGTTTAAATTTCAAATGAATAAACTTTACTTCAAAATGAACAAATGTTTTAAGGCTTTGACTTCACATTCAAATAATATGCTATTTACATATTTGCTGAAAGTTAGCAACAGTTATTCATGATGCCCCACTTAGAGGTCGGAGCGCTGCAAGTAGCGGAACTACTGTAGTCGTAGTTGCTACTTTTTTTTCCATAGTTCGTAGTGTTTAAAAAGTACTTTTTAACAGAAGTAATGTAGTTATTAGTACGATATAAAAAACAGTAGTATGTAGCAATTCCTGGCAACTTTTAACGTTAGTGAAATAAAGAAACAAAGTTCAAGCGCAAAAGATTTTTCGAATCTGATTGGTTCAAATTCGGGGCCAGTCAACGTACGCAGTGAGAATGCGACTGCGGCTGAGATTAAGAAAGATCTACGTCTGATGTTCGGATAGATAGGCACGAAATCGGTCAAATTGCTCACAAGAAATATCGATTTCACGGGAACATTAAAGTACGTTTTTGTGTCGGATGTCGTAACTTCAAATATCTTCTGCATTAATTTATTTTCATAGTCACCACCTCATACCATTAAGATTGAATCCCAGAACGTGAAGATCCGATCATTAGATCATAAGTTATTTAGGCTTGGTTCATTTTTTTGCTTTTTGCATTGTACTTTATTTCTTGGAGGATATGAAAAAGCATTGATCACTTAAATCAGAAATATTTGATAATTTCTTAAATCACTGTCGAGAAAAGCATAGAGTTTGAAAGTTTAAAGAACAAATCCTTAATACTGAAAATAGCTCAAAGTGTAAATAGGAAGAAAATTGTGATCCAATTTTTTATATTTACCAAGTTACTCGAACACGATATTATCTAAGTTCATAAAAATTTTCAAAAAATCGTAATTATATATCGCTTTTGATAATTTTCATCTAGGTGGAAAAATCTCGCCTGCTTGGCGATTTTCAAAAAAGTTCTTTAACATATTTAAGTCCCACAGTTGGACTGATCGTAAAACACGGTAGTCATTGGCTGCTGTCGGTGTGCAGCTGCTGGGTAACTACTTTGATCAGGATACGAAGGGACCAAGGGTGTGCGGTGTCGATCCCCGTTAAACCGTAAAGTGCTTGACTTCGCCGCAGGTCGTTAGACCACCTGAACGGGGGAGTCTCCGCAGAGGATCAAAATTGTGATGGCATGTTTTCGGATCATCCAGAGGGATGTTTCCCAGACCGTTGCCAATAGCGGCAGCTCTAGTACGACTCAAATGAACTGAAGCCCAGATCATTCCTTATCTCCAAATTGCATATATAGTTTAAAATTATAGCTGAAGTTAAAGAACTTAAACTGCATTTTGTTTCTTTGGTGAAAGAACTGCAAAAAATACTCTTTAGTATTTGAAATTTATTAAACGCTTTGCCAATTTGGTGAGATTTTTTCCTCTTAATGAAAATCAATCCTTCAACGAATAATTCTTAGTCTTTTCATACTTTTATGAGGAGAGACAATAATGCATTGCTGGATTATCTTCTTAAATATTAAAGAAAAGAAAAATTAGACCAAAAAGGCTTTTCATTTTAAAAAACTGACTCTTCTTTTACTTAAAATTTTTTGCCAATTTTTAGAAACATAGAGGGATTAAACCGTGAAAAAAACTTATTCTAACATCTTTATAAATAAATGTTATATGA